GGCTGCACAAGTAGCGGTGCCGGGTTCGGCTCAGCCATAGACGCACAGGGGCAAGGAGAATGTACGAAGCGAGTTGAGGAGCTCTCGGCAGCTTTTTAAAAAAACAAGCCAGAAGCAGCAATCCCACACAACCGGTTGGGTGCCGTCTGTGCCGTATGGCACAGCAGCAATTTCTCGATGACTAGGCAACTTCGGGGACTTTGGCTAGGACGGTAGGATTTCGCCGTGCATATCAGCATTTCGGAGTGCAGAGCTTGGGATATGTCTTCACGGATAAACTTCCTGCTGCGAGAGGTTAGAAGTGGTTTCGGCATACGCAGGCCGGAACATGCTTGTTTCTGCCACCCAGGCAGGCGTGCCCGTGGCTGCTGCTGTTGGTGCTGCCGCTGGCGCTGGTGCTGTGCCTCGTTGATGAGATGCTGGGGGTTCTGGGGCTCGTCGGCTGTTCTGTTCAAGTCCTCAAGTCCAAAACCCTCTTTATTCTAAATTATGCGGCCCAAGCTTAACTGGGGCTAGAGTTTCATGTCTGCAAGCTGTGCACTCTTGCAGAGGTCCACGTTGGCTGCCAGGAGGTGGTGGGGGAAATCGACCGCATGACTGTGCGAGGCGGCGCGCACGCTGCTTCTGGGTCAACTTACGGCTATAAAGTATAAAAAGTAGGGATTTGTGGCAAATAGTGTGGTCTCCTTAAACTAATATAAATTAACAAGACCCCAGGTTTTCAGCCACATTCTGCAGGGCATCTTCAGAAGAAAAGGGCAGCAAAACCACGGGCGGCCTGTCTACGTGAAGGAGAACGACAGCCTCAACGGGGTCTTCGTCTACTACTGGGACACCCGGGATGGTCAGGACTTGTCCGGCTGGTGGTTCGGCCCCGTGGTGGGTGGGGCCGTGTACTGGGCTTATCACCCCAGCAGCTCGGCGCAGACTCCACCTCGCAGTGGCTGGAAGGCAGTGGGGGGGTGCATTCAAAAGCAGGAGGCAGTAGATGTTGGAGTTCGGCCTTTCAGAAGGATTCATGATGGTGGTGGCGGTGGTGGTGATGACG